GAGAGAGAGAGGAAGCAGAATTTCAGAGAGAGAGAGAGAGAGAGAGAGAGAGGAAGCAGAATTTCAGAGAGAGAGAGTGAAAGAGAGAGGAAGCAGAATTTCAGAGAGTGTGAGAGAGAGAGAGGAAGCAGAATTTCAGAGAGTGTGAGAGAGAGAGAGGAAACAGAATTTCAGAGAGTGTGAGAGAGAGAGAGAGGAAACAGAATTTCAGAGAGTGTGAGAGAGAGAGGGAGAGGAAGCAGAATTTCAGAGAGAGTGAGAGAGAGAGAGAGAGGAAGCAGAATTTCAGAGAGAGTGAGAGAGAAAGAGAGGAAGCAGAATTTCAGAGAGAGTGAGAGAGAGAGAGAGAGAGAGGAAGCAGAATTTCAGAGAGAGTGAGAGAGAGAGAGAGAGAGAGAGAGAGAGCAGAATTAGAAAGAGAGAGAGAGAGAGAAAGAAAAGAATTTGAATAGCAAATCTTAACCAGACAATTTATTTAAAAATTTCCCCTTAAAAGCCTGAAGAAAATAATGAAAACCGTGAATTTAAAATTATAATCAAAGTCGGTATATCTTTTTTGATACAATTAAAAATAATAAAAAAAGGTAAAGAAAAAGAACAAAAGAAAAAGTTTCATCTAAGACATTAGAGGAAAATAAATTAGAGCCTGCGATATTTAATTACAATTCACAAAAGAAAAATATTTTCCAAATTCACCACAAGTGCGACAAGCAATAACAAAAATAAGGAATAATATCAACAAATGTTTTTTTAAAAAAGACTTATTCCATTGCGAAACCAGGAATAAAATGACAAGTTCTGAAATTAATGAATGGTAGCAATAAAAAAACAAATTTAAAAAAATTAAATTAAAAAGAAGAAGAAAAAAAAATAAAGTAAAGGAGCATGACTTCTCTCTACAAATAAAGGTTTCCTAAAAGTAGAAAGAGCATAAGAAACTTTTGTACAGACCAAAAAGAATGTAAAAAAAAAAAAAAAAAAAAAATGCCAGGATGTTGTGAACAAAGTCAACTCTACTGACAAGATCCAGTTCTTGACGAGCAAGATGGTTACAAGAAATTGAACAAAAACAAAACATGAACTTTGGGCAGTATATCCACTATTTTGATTTAGATATACGACATCATATTTGAAAAGTGGAAAAATACCAAAAAAAAAAAAAAAAAAAAAAAAAAAAAAAAAAAAAAAAAAAAAAAAAAAAAAAAAAAAAAAAAAAAAAAAAAAAAAAAAGAAAAAAAAAGAAAAAAAAAAAGAAAAAATTAAACAGATCATGTCTGTCTGTGTATCTCAGGGTATTATTTACATTATTCAAACTGTTATTCTCATCTTCATTACCATATTCACAAAGTTTGGCCATTGTACACTCTGGCGTCCTTCAGGTTGGAATTTCGAACTGAACCGGGGGTAGATTGTTCTTGTTCCACAGGCCGTGCCTCTTCCGGATGTCTCAGTTATCTCCCTTTAACTCAACCCTCCAAGTTCTTTGGTTCACCACTGCTGTAGCCTGGTATTGAACTCTTTAGGTCTAGTCACTGGATCTAACCAGCATCTTTATTCACTGGGCCATGTGTCCTTGACAAAATTCCAATCATCTGAAGAAGGCTGGAGCATACATACATATATATATATATATATATATAATTGCTTATTCAAAAATTATAAGATAAACATGTTATAAAATCACTATAAAAATAGCCATTTTGTTTCAACACTTCTGGTGTCTTATCAAGTGATGATGTTGAAGGTAGAATAAAGGATTTTAAAAGGTTCAAATGAATCAAATACTCCTCGCTAGGGGAAACGCTGTTACATAAGCTGGAATGACCAATCAAAATACAAGTATATGAACATTCAAAAAACTTGACAACGGACTTTAAGGTTATTATAATTATTTAATGCTTTAATGTTGGGGCTAGACTAAAATAGAATTCATTCTAACTCATAAATATTAAATTATACTACAAAATTTAAAATTAAAAATTACAAATTTTAAATTTAATCTATATTAAGTTTAAAATTATAAAGTTATTTAAAGAAGAAACCGAGGAAAAAAAAATACATGTTTTTCTATTTATTTGCTCTACTCTGTATTGAGCACACTTTTAAGAATAGTATTTGTTGGTTATTGGAATTTATTCTGTATACACCAATCCTATACTTGGGTACATGATTCTAAATTGTACTATTTTTATTTTTGCTTATTTGATTTTCATTTGTTAATCAGGATTCATCGGAAGTTCTTTTTTTCCTCCATATCTTATTTTCTGATGAAGCTTTTATAAAAAGTGAAATATGTCAGATCGACAAATACCTCCTATTTGCCTTTTATCCTACCATATTTAGGCAGCGATCCTTTGTTTAAAACATCTGTTATATAATATCACCAGATTCATACACTTCCTTGGTCTTTTGAACAGGAGTAGAGGTTTATCCCTTGTTTTCCGTTTCGAGTTCTCAGCTTTACTCAAAATGTATCAAAGTGTTGAAGAAGCCATTGTAAATAACGCCGAATATATAATTGAATAAAATGTAATGAAACTTTACTTTTAAAAAGTAAAAATTGATAAACCAAATAGCAAATTCTGCTTCAACTCTATACTTCTAACATCTCCACCTAAATGCTGAAATGTGTACTATTATTGCTTTTTTCCAGTTCCTTCTAAAGTTTTCCTTCTCTTTCACTTCCAGTAGAAAGATCTGTTGGAATTTTTGGGTACCCTGGTGTACTAAAGAGCCAACCAAAATGAGCTGATTCATTTTATAGTTCACCAATAGAAGGGTTAACCAATCAGAAGGCTCAAAATATTCAATGCGACGTATATAAAGGCGGCCATGTTTTTCACAAATATTCACTGACAGCCAGCCTTTGATATTGAAGACTGAAGAATTATGGAACAGCTGCTGGTGGTATTGGCGACATAGTCAGATTCAGTAGAGTGCCTGATTTGTGAGTGTTAATCTTTAACGTTGTTTCATTGAACAGATTACGTACTGCGCTGTATTCTATATTCATAGACTATGGTGAACATGGTCAACAAGATCATCTAAATATGACAGGTTGAACAGACCAACTAAATTCCATTTGTTTTCCCTGTGTAGTCCTTACATCATTATGGAGAAGAGCATTATTTTTATTGATGGGCATAGGGTGTTTTTTGACCAAACATTTATAGACATGTTGCAGCTGATTGAAGTATAAATACACATATATGCATTTTCAGAACTCTAACCCAAATGATCCCAGAGCACGCACAACATTATCTTTCTTTCAATGAGCTCAGCTTCTGGGGTTGATTAGGAAGATTTCCCCCTTGCCTTTTGGGTTGAACATTGCTGTAAGTTAGGAGAACTCCAAATTTATATATAACTACCACATATGATTAGTATTTAGGAAGATATATTTGTTGTTAAAATTGGTTCACAAAATGGATATCACTCATGACACAGCCTAATGGAGCAGAAAAGGAAGAACAGTTAAGCCTTTTGATGAGTCTGCTCTCGCATCTAATATGCCGTTTGAAGTCAGGCAGCAATTTGCAAAGAAACTTGCCAAAATTGTGTGTACTTTAAAAAAAGAAACAAAGGCAAAAAATGACACCTGAAGCTGCAGAATTAAAAAAAAAACAAAAAACAAAAAACAAAAAAAAAACAACAAAGAAAGACAAAGCATATCTTATTAAAACCTAAAAATTCACTGACAATGGCTTCATAAGCCATTATTAGTGAAGCCGACTTTAGTTCAAACTCTTAAACGACTTTCACAGGCACTAAAACCAAACATACATTTGATTTGAATTTCACCAGCCATCAACCAAACACGATTATTTGACCTAAATTTCACTGGCCTTCAACCAAACATGTATATTTGGTCTGATGACTGCTAAAGGTGTGAAACTGACAGTCACCATGTAGTGTTGATTTATATATATATATATATATGAAGAAAAATATACGGAAAAAACAAACAAAAATCCTAATATGCAATTATGCTGTTTTAATGTTAATATAATGTCAATGTCGGACGTTTCGGTCTAATAGACTATCTTCAGGACATATTCATAAAATGCACAGTGAATACTAGACTTGGCTTCTTTAATATTTCCCCTTTTCTAGCAAGATTAATGCTCGACAAACATACATATAAGTTTTAGATTAAAATAAAATTCTTCTCATTTTTCATTCAAAATACTATATTTTAGGAATACGTTTTCACAACATCCCCCACGTGACGCTGACGTGACCATATTGAAATGGAACGCTGATCTTGAAAAATTTCAGTTGTCCATTTTGATTAGTCTTACTCTTATGTCCATCGTCTTTTCATGTTGAATTAAATATAGTCTAATGTTAATTATGTTTTATGAATATGTCCTGAAGATGGTCTACTAGACCGAAATGTCCGACGTTGACATTATATTAACATTAAAACAGCATAATTGCATATTAGGATTTTTGTTTGTTTTTTCCGTATATTTTTCTTCATACTGTCGGATCTATATCCATATATTTGCTTACACACACACACACACACATATATATATATATATAAAATAAGATGACATAATAATGCCACATATTAATGCTAGTAATTAATATATGTAAAATTATATAATTTAATGCATATCTAATAGAACGGAATTTCTGCTAACTTCTCAACATGAGACGAGTGATAATTATTATTAAATTTGATATGATAATATTCAAATAAAAACGGGGTGTCTACCCAGAAAAGAAACATAAAAAAAAAACATTATAAAGATAAAGGGGTAAAAATATAAGAAAAGGAAACAACAAAAACAATGGTAAATTAGATCTCATCTACACAACCCCAATTTGCTGGCAGATGTCTAAAGGAAATTAATTACAAGGGTTTCATAAGAATTATATATATATATATATATATATATATATATGAGGAAAAACAAATCAAATTTCCTCTTTAATGTACACATGAGGAACACTGAATAGAAGGGTTTTTTTTTTTTTTCAGATCTTCTTCAATGTTTAATAAGGACAGCAATCAAATTCGAACAACACAATTATCTATCTCGGTCCCTTCATTATCTATCTATCTATCTATCTATCTATCTCGGTCCCTTCATTATCTATCTATCTATCTATCTCGGTCCCTTCATTATCTATCTATCTATCTATCTCGGTCCCTTCATTATCTATCTATCTCTCTCTCTCGGTCCCTTCATTATCTATCTATCTATCTCTCTCGGTCCCTTCATTATCTATCTATCTATCTATCTCGGTCCCTTCATTATCTATCTATCTACCTCTCTATCTCTTCATTATCTACCTCTCTATCTCTTCATTATCTACCTCTCTATCTCTTCATTATCTACCTCTCTACCTATCTACCTCTCTATCTCTTCATTATCTACCTCTCTACCTCTCTATCTCTTCATTATCTACCTCTCTACCTATCTACCTCTTTATCTCTTCATTATCTACCTCTCTACCTATCTACCTCTTTATCTCTTCATTATCTACCTCTCTACCTATCTACCTCTTCATTATCTACCTCTCTACCTATCTACCTCTCTCTCTCTTCATTATCTACCTATCTACCTCTCTCTCTCTTCATTATCTACCTCTCTCTCTTCATTATCTACCTCTCTCTCTCTTCATTATCTACCTCTCTCTCTCTCTTCATTATCTACCTCTCTATCATTTCAAGAATTATGGAAATTAATCTGGATAAGCAGTGATTTGTTTAATATACTGAGGGTGATGTAGAGAGCAGGCCAAATCTTTATTGCAACTTATATCAACATTATCAGGTGGGTGAGGAGTCACAGGGAAGTTTGGGGGGTGGGTTGACAGCAATTTTGAGAAAGTGCCATGTTATCATTGGAATCTCTCAGGCTTCAAGGAACATACATTGAAGACATTCACTTGAAACAAGAAACACAAAGACTTTGCAAACATCTGCTTTCACAGAAGGATATCTTGAATTTATAGCCATGTTCTGAAGTATCGAGTTAATTATTCCAGTTTGCTGAAACTGGTAATGAGAGAGAGAGAAAGACAAAGGGAGAATAAAAACATGAAAAAGATCAGAATAATATCACTTGCTGATGCAGCTCAGCTATTAAAGCAAAGGTCTGTAATAGGAAGGGTATATATTTGGTAACAAGAAACATTACAAAGGAAACAATAGTTTGCAGGAGAAGAGAAAAAAAACAAAACAAATGATTATCTAACAGATATCAGCCAAATATGGAAAATTCCATAACACCTGTAAATCTTACATATAATAGCTCTTGCTTTAATTATTAACAACTGGCAATTCCTTTCTTTCTGATTTTCAATGTATTCCTATAGTAAGATCATTAGCAATGCATTTACATTATACATATAATAGCCCTATTCTATCAGTAATGCTTGCATTCATTCCTGACCACTGACAATCCCTTTCTTCCTGATTTTAAATGCATTCCTATAGTAAGATCATTAGCAATGCATTTACATTATACATATAATAGCCCTATTCTATCAGTAATGCTTGCATTCATTCCTGACCACTGACAATCCCTTTTTTCCTGATTTTGAATGCATTCCTATAGTAAAATCATTAGCAATACATTTACATTATACATATAATAGCCCTATTCTATCAGTAATGCTTGCATTCATTCCTGACCACTGACAATCCCTTTCTTCCTGATTTCCAATGCATTCCTATACTAAAATCATTAGTAATGCATTTCCATTATACATATAATAGCCCTATTCTATCAGTAATGCTTGCATTCATTCCTGACCACTGACAATCCCTTTCTTCCTGATTTTCAATGCATTCCTATAGTAAAATCATTAGCAATACATTTACATTATACATATAATAGCCCTATTCTATCAGTAATGCTTGAGAGAGATGTGGCGGGAGGCAAGAGAACGAGAGAGATGTGGCGGGAGGCAAGAGAACGAGAGAGATGTGGCGGGAGGCAAGAGAACGAGAGAGATGTGGCGGGAGGCAAGAGAACGAGAGAGATGTGGCGGGAGGCAAGAGAACGAGAGAGATGTGGCGGGAGGCAAGAGAACGAGAGAGATGTGGCGGGAGGCAAGAGAACGAGAGAGATGTGGCGGGGAGGCAAGAGCAGAGAGATGTGGCGGGAGGCAAGAAAACGAGAGAGATGTGGCGGGAGGCAAGAGAACGAGAGAGATGTGGCGGAGGCAAGAGAAGAAGAGAGATGTGGCGGGAGGCAAGAGAACGAGAGAGATGTGGCGGGAGGCAAGAGAACGAGAGAGATGTGGCGGGAGGCAAGAGAACGAGAGAGATGTGGCGGGAGGCAAGAGAACGAGAGAGAAGGGGGAAAAGAGAACAAGAGAGAAAGGGGAAAAGAGAACGAGAGAGAAAGGGGAAAAGAGAACGAGCACTAGAAAATAAAATCTGTACCATGTGCTTTGGATTTAGACAGCTAAAACATTTCTAAATGCCCGAACAAATAGATCCTATCAAACTATATAAAATAAATTTAAATAAAGACA